TAGCTTATAACAATCCAGCTTTCCTAGTCACTTTCAGACTCTTTTAAGCTCTAATAGGATGTGTGGGGTCTAGTTTTTTCTAATCCCAGTGGATTCTAGTTCAAATTGCACTTCAGAGGTTACAGATCTTTTTGTTTGTAATGTAAAATTGTGATCTGCCTCCATAAACTCTTAAATTGTCGATGCATCATTTCTCCTGAGTTACTTTGCTCATTTTTCTTGGCAGGGGAAGTGGTTACATGAATTAGGTACTTACCCAGTGAATTAGAGGGTCATATATCAGACCAATGATTGTGGGATGCATTTCCTGGATTGACGATAGAGTAGGAATACATTTCCTCCCACACTGATCCCCTGAATCCACAACCCATTATAATACAAAGCATGAGAGCAGTCTAAGGGGCTGACAGAATTGCCAGCCCCCTGGGCATGGTGGGCAGGATAGCGCCACGCTCCCAGAATAGGTGGGGCCTGAGGGTGGAAGCCTATCCCCAGCCAGCCCTTTGCTCCACTTCAGGCTCCAGTGGTGATTTAAAGTATCAGAGGGGTAGCTGTGTTAGTCTGAATCTGCAAAAGCGGCGAGGAGTCCTGTGGCACCTTATAGACTAACTGAAGTGTTGGAGCATAAGCTTTTGTGGGCAAAGACTCACTTCACATGCATCTGACGAAATGGGTCTTTGCCCACGAAAGCTTATGCTCCAACACTTCAGTTAGTCTATAAGACAATAACAAGAAGACTAAGGTAATTAATGTCTAATTTGCTTCAGTCTTCACCAAAAAAGGTTAATGGTTAAACAGACACCCAACACAATTAATATTAATGTAGTCCCCTTACTAAAGGGGCCTCTGTTTTATTCTGAAAAGGCCCTGGCTACATCTAGAATGGCATGATTTTCCAGAAATGCTTTTAACGGGAAAGTTTTCAGTTAAAAGCATTTTCGGAAAAGAGCATCTAGATTGGCACGGACGCTTTTCCGCAAAAGCACTTTTTGTGGAAAAGCGTCCGTGCCAATCTGGACGCGCTTTTCTGCAAAAAAGCCCCGATTGCCATTTTCGCAATCAGGGCTTTTTTGTGCAAAACAAATCTGAGCTGTCTACACTGGCCCTTTTGCGCAAAAGGACTTTTGCCTGAACGGGAGCAGCATAGTATTTCTGCAAGAAGCACTGATTTCAGACAGTAGGAAGTCAGGGCTTTTGTGGAAATTCAAGCGGCCAGTGTAGACAGCTGGCAAGTTTTTCTGGAAAAGCGGCTGATTTTCTGGAAAAGGCCAGTCTAGACACAGCCCTTGTGTGCTACAATCCAGACAACAATTCCCATGACCCCTTGGGAAAAACAAGAAGGAAGGACTCTTGTGTGGGAGATGACTGCCTCTCCACGTGTATTAAGAAAAGAGGCCTAGCAGGCTGGGACTCTGCCTTGGAGTTTGGAACCGAAGGGGGAGCCAAGCTGCTGCCAAGGAGATTGATCCAGTTATGGGGCTGTTGGATGCAGCTACAGACCGGGACTAGATGCCTTTTGGAACTGGGATCTAGCAGGCTGCTTTCGATAGGCACAGCATGAGGCAGTAAGTTTTTGGATCTTTTTGGGAAAGTGCTACCTGGGACAGAGCTGCTGTTGAGCCTGGACCAAATCTCCACTACTGCTGCAACATCAGCACGCCAACGCAAGCGTCTGGGACTGAGTCTAGGGGTGTGCACACTCTCGGGTGGGATCAATATTGGCAGTACAAATGTTAGCTATATAAGCTTCAATTAGTGTTGTGTGTTTTGTTAATGCTGTTCATTGCTAATCTGTTAACCCCTGTTTATGTAAGTTAAGTAAAGATCGTTTATTATAAAGTATTCTATTAGATGTATATGATTTGTAGTTGTTCTGGAATTAGATCCAGGTTGTAGTTGGAATGTGTATGTTCCTGGAGGCTCTCAAGGCACACCAGGTGTGTGTGCAGGGCCAGCCAGGTGGAGGCGCCGCCATTTGTGTATTCATTACGAGCAGGGGACTCCAGCAAGGGGGTGGAAAAGGTTTATTTTTCCCCAACTAAACACCATCACTACTGGGGTGCTCAGGATCTCCTTTTGGATTGAAACCATCAGGTGCCCAGGCACACCTGAGAGTGTGACCTGCTCCCAAGTAACCCAGGGAGGAGAAAGGGGGTTACATTACAATACAGTCTTTATGTTCTAACATACTAGTCCTCACATATATTTTGCTTTGACATTAGATATGTATGCTTAGGATCTTGGACCGCTGTACACTATTGGCTACGTCTAGACTGGCATGATTTTCTGGAAATGTTTTTAACGGAAAAGTTTTCAGTTAAAAGCATTTTCGGAAAAGAGCGTCTAGATAGGCACGGACACTTTTCCGCAAAAGCACTTTTTGCGGAAAAGCATCTGTGGCCAATCTAGACACGCTTTTGCGCAAAAAAGCCCCGATCGCCATTTTCACGATCAGGGCTTTTTTGCACAAAACAAATCTGAGCTGTATACACTGGCCCTTTTGCGCAAAAGTTTTGTGCAAAAGGGACTTTTGCCCAAATGGGAGCAGCATAGTATTTCCGCAAAAAGCACTGATTTCTTACAGTCAGTGCTTTTGCGGAAATTCAAGCGGCCAGTGTAGACAGCTGGCAAGTTTTTCCGGAAAAGCAGCTGATTTTCCGGAAAAACTGGCCAGTCTAAACACAGCCTATTCTGTTTGAGTCTGTGACACTCACTTATATGAAGAGTACATTATATTCTATACTCTGAATGCCTTAACAATACAGACTACCCATTGAAATTTGCAGATGTCTAATCTACTTATGTTTGCATCTATGTCGGTTCCATAGTTGTGACTTTATCCCTTAACTTGCACCTGTGGAAGGCTGTATGTATGTGTGCATGTAAATTAGCCTTGCAGCTAATTGTTTCATTGGCAGAATTGCATCAAAGAAGGGCTGGGCTGTTGAAAATAAATTATTTACTATATGGTTGCTCACTATTATGTGTAGTGAGTTCTAAGAAAGCAGATTGGTTAGACACTGCCAATATCCTGGACCCCTTCTAGTGAGACGTCAGGACAGAATTTGGAAAATAGATAGTGATAGTGGCACTGATGGATGATCTTTGCTTGGCAATCCATAAGGGCTATAAATCCATACACATTTCTGGACCTCTGTACAGCATTTGTTACTGTTGGCTGTAAAATCCTATCCACAAAATACTGCAGGGGTTAATGAGGTTGCTTTCTGAGCAGCACTTAGACATGGTAACTTGTCTTTATACCTTGATTTAGCAAAGCTTTTGATTCTGTCTCCCACAATATTCTTGCCAGCAAGTTAAGGAAGTACGGATTGGATACATGGACTGTAAGATGGATAGACAGTTGGCTAGATTGTCGGGCCCAAAGGGTAGTGATCAATGGCTCGATGTCAGGTTGCTGATAGATTTCTAGTGGAGTGCCCCAAGGATCAGTTCTAGGGCCTGTTTTATTATTCAACATCTTCATTAATGACCTGGATGAGGGGATGGATTGCACCCTCAACAAGTTTGCAGATGACACTAAGCTAGGGAGAGAGGTAGATACGTTGGAGGGCAGGGCTAGGGTCCAGAGTCACCTAGACAGATTAGAGGATTGGGCCAAAAGAAATCTGATAGGTTTCAATAAGGACAAGTGCAGAGTCTTGCACTTGGGATGGAAGAATCCAAAAAGCACTTAAGTAGCAGTTCATCAGAAAAGGACCTCGGGATTACAATGGATGAGAAGCCGGATATGAGTCAAGAGTGTGCCCTCGTAGCCAAGAAGGCTAATGGCATATTGCATTAGGAGGAGCACTGCCAGAAAATCTAGAGGAGATATTATTCCTCTTTATTCAGCACTGCTTAGGCCACATCTGGAGTATTGTGTCCAGTTCTGGGCCCCCCACTGTAGAAAGGATATGGACGCACTGGAAAGAGTCCAGCAGATGGCAACCAAAATGATTAAGGGGCTGGAACACATGACCTAGGAGGAGAGGCTGATGGATTGGAGTTTGTTTAGTCTGCAGAAGAGAAGATTGAGGAGGGATTTGATAGCAGCCTTCAACTTCCTAAAGGGAGGTTCCAAAGAGGATGAAGAAAGACTGTTCTCAGTGGGGACAGATGGCAGAACAAGGAGCAATGGTCTCAAGTTGCAGTAGAGAAAGTCTAGGTTGGATATAAGGAAAAACTAGTGAAATACTGGAATGGGTTACCTAGAGAGGTGGTAGACTCTCCACCCCTAGAGGTTTTTAAGTGTTGACTTGACAAAGCCCTGGCTGGGATGATTTAGTTGGTATTGGTCTTGCCTTGTGCAGGGGGCTGGACTTGATGACCTCCTGAGGTCCCTTCCAGCTCTATTATTCTGTGATTCTATGGAGATTCCACCACCTCTCTAGGTAACCCATTCCAGTGCTTCACCACCCTCCTAGTGAAATAATTTTTCCTAATATTCAACCTAGACCCTCCCCACTGTAACTTGAGACCATTGCTCCTTGTCCCCAACTAATCCTGGGCTCCATGGCTGCCCCTTTGAATGGCACACAGGAGGCATTTAAAGGTGCAGCTGCCGCACAGCTGATCCACGGATCAGCTGTGCAGCGGTTGCCCTTTTGAAAAGCTTCCCGGGGGTTTCAAAGTGGCAATGCCGCTGTGCAACGCTATCACTTTGAAGTACTCCCCCTCCCCCCCCCTTTGCTGCCTCTATAAAATATTTTATAGAGGCAGCAAAGGGGAGGTGTCAACTAGTCAAAATACTATCCGATAAGCAAATGTTTGTCGCTTAGTCGACCAGTCTTTTACATCCTTAATAAACACCTGCTCTTGCAATTTGTCCCTCACCAGCAGAATCCAACAGGGGTCCCAAATATCACTCATTCTGTTTATTATATTATCTAGATGACGCTGATATAAATCCTCAAAACGCCAGTGTATAAATGAAAAAGGTTCATTTGGGATACACTGGTGAATGTGGACATTTTCTCTGATGCTGCAAAAAGAAGTCTAATGTGATTGAGTTTTGGTTATCTCATTTTTCTGAAGGACTGAAGTGAGTACATTGGATGGCAGGGATGCAGGGCTCTGAAGTAACACCAAGCACTCTCTCAGGTGATTGGGATGGCTGTTTTTTGCTGACATTTTTTTTATCTAAATGATTGTTATCCCCACCCCCCAACTAGATTGATGGTGCGCAGAGTATGGGGAGAGTTCACCAGCCTCTAAAGCCTGGGGTGCAGGTCATCTGGCTTACCTGGCTATATCTCACTTAATCATTACCTTACCACTTCAGGGTCGTTGGATGTTGGTGCATCTCAGTGCTTCCTGTTCTCTGGCTGTGGTGCATAGACGTTTAGTCTCTAGTGGGCTGCAAAATTTGGTATGATTTTGGTTGTTCACCCTATTATGATGTCCTTAAAATTTTCCCTTGCAGTTTGCAGGGATTTCCCTTTGGCACTATACTTTTTAATTTCTTTCTAAATAACTTCCTCGTATTTATGTAGTCCCCCTTTCTGAAAGTAAATCCATAATGTTAGCATTTAGTTTTACATACACAAACAGAGCCCTACTTTCTCTGTGTAGATATAGAAACTGACTGACAGTATCTATGTCTGAATATCTAATCAAACTAAAATGATCTATTTCTGTTCTGTTATTTCATTGATCTCTGATCTGGAAAGCATGTAAGCCCATATTTAATGCTAAGGGTGTACTTAAGAGCTTTTCTGAGATGGGTACGTCAGGGGTGGGAAAACTTTTTTGGGCCACTGATCCACAGAAAAATCAGTCAGGAGTGGCACCCAAGTGAGAAACAAACAAACCAACCAGAAAAACACCCCTCACTAGTTTCCCAATGCTGAAGGGTGCCCAGAGACTCGTGGGCCAGATCCAGACAAGCCAGGGCTGCCTCTGGCCCCCAGATCTTAGGATACCCACACCTGGTATAGATCTTTAGAGAGTTAAGCATGTTTATAAACCCAGCTAAGTTCAGCATGGTTTAGCACAATGACTTTCCTGAAGAGAAGCCTTAAATAATTTTTTAACAAACTGCATTGCATTGTATAGAATTGTTAATCACGCTCCCCTCATTGCTACTTGAAACTGTCCATAACTTACTAATGGCTTGTTAATTATACTCTTTTAAATCTGAAATGTACACCTGATTAATTTGAAAAAACTAACTTAAATTAGTGCAATTGTTTAAAATATGGCAGCCAGGTAAAGTGCACAGACTGATTAGAAATGACATGGAGTGCTTAAAATTAAAAAGTTTAAAAATAATAATTTAAAAAAAAAAATCAACAACATTGCAACATGATTAGTCCACCCATCTTCCTGGATTTCCCTCACTTTTGTTCTGCTGATTCCAATGGATTTACAGTGATGTACATTTATTGTAAGAGAAATTATTCAGCCCAGCTTCGGCAGCAGAAAAGAACAGTTTTAGTTAAATGATTTGGGGAGCTTATATTATATTGTGCAAATATATTTCTTGCTGAACCAAAGAGAATTTTAAGACAATGTTTGAAAGCTCTTTATTCTTCATTCATATGCAAGTGTGCAATTTGAAAAATATCTTTGTCAACATCTAATATGTTCATTCATAAACTGATGTACTTCTGCCTGCCTGCCAATGATTTCTTCCTTATGATAGAGAGAATATGGTTTTGGAAAGTTCTTCTTACTCTTTTGTGCATCTGTTTCTCTCTTCTTGATTCTTAATTACTTTATTTTATCTCATTTTTAAAGCACCAATCTGCTAGTGCTGCTATGATAATATTGATAAACCTATTGAGCAGCTTCATATTCAGATCTTGTCCTATGATATCGTCCAGTTGCAAAATAAAAACAATTGAGTCACTTGAAAGTAAACTACCCATATAAATCTTTCCAGATAGTTACTTTCACTCAGATTTAAAGGGAAAGCAAAGGAATGATTAAAAAGTGGAAGAAACCCCGAACCCAATATAAAAATGATAAAAATTTACTTTTGAGGAGCACATTGCACAGCTGTATCGTGGTCAATGGAACTGCAGTAAGAGGGCCTGTGTTCTAGAGGGTCTGTTATTAACAAGCTATCAGAGGAACAGTGAATGGGTGGAATTAGACTGGAAGCAACTCAGCCAGGTGGCTGGAACAGTACAAAGCACTTAACTAAGTTTCACTTGCTCAACTCAGTGTGCAGTCAGCTTCACTCAGATGTGTCAGTTCTCCAAAGTGCAGCAGCTTCCAGCGGGAGTCATGAACATCTGAAGCCTCTCTCCCACCAAGGCCTAGAGTTTGCAGCTTCACATGTGGCTCCTCAGTGGACTCAATGGAGGAAGGAGTTTGAGCTGTTCATAGTCCTCTCCATGCAGGAGGAGGCGGAAAACACAGGAAAGTTAAACCGTTCTTTTCCCTGCCCCTGGCACAAGACAGAGAGCTCTGCCATGCTCCGAAGCTGCCTCAAGCCCGCAGAAGTCCTATGAGCCCTGAGGAGGGAGGTCTCCCTTCCCAAAGTGAATGAAACTGCAGAGGGACATGGGAGACCAATTTGAAGGGAAGGGAATTGACTCATATGTTACAGCCATGGCCAGTAGGTGAATTCCACCTTTGGGGAGGCTACCCTTTCAGCCCAGCCCCTTCCCCAAAAAGTCTCCCCCCAGAGCCAGATGATTTCTAGTCTGCCCACCATAGCTGTACCGGCTGGTCCCCTCAAGCACAAGCTGGATGCAGAGATGGGCCACACTGCTGTCCTCCTTTTATGGCTGTAGTATCCCCGGCTGACTCATTGCCCTTCCATGGCTGGGGTAGGCTGAGCCAGCTTGTCCCAGCTGTGCTGGCCACCCCCTCCCACCAAGCAATGGGCTGGCCGTGAACCTAAGTGACAGTAGCCCCCAAGTTTCATCCAAGCTTCATGGCTATTAAGCTCCACACAGGGACTCAACGCTACGGTGAGGAGACATACCTCCCCCCAAGTACTGGCCCTACTGCAGTGCGCAAAGGTACTTCAGTCAGCAAAGAGCTGTTGTATCTAGGAGAGAGGTGCCTCAGCCCACTGGCCTCACCAGGCTGGAGGAAAGGCACAGCTTCCCGGATATGCCCCAGGCTATGGAGGAGCACCCCTCCCTGGCCAGGCACCACTGCAGCTGCTGCAGCTGTGGAGCAGCACTTCTCACCGTTCACTGAACTGCTGTAGGTAGTCCTCTCTCCTTGAGACAGCCTACACCCCCTTCAAGCCCTTTATTCCCCAGTCCCGCCCTAGTGCCTGCACTCCCATCTGTAGCATTCACTCGCCTCCATACGCCAGCCATGCGTCCCCTACCTCACTCTAAATGCTCCGTCCCTGGCCTCATCCCAGAGTCTGTCCCCTCTTCCAGAGCTCTCAAACCTCTGTATCACAATCCTCTACCCCAGACCTGAGCCTGTCCCACACTCTTAACCCCTCAGCTCACTCCCAAACACACATTCTCCATGTGCAGAATGGTCCATCAATAAGGATTTTGTGAGTCACACGTCACCTCCATATTGGTGAACATAACATTCAGTCTGCACATGGACATAAAAATGTAGAGAGAGCATATGCCCCTCTTCTTCCTCCTCCTGCCTATGTCGCTCCTGTTTGGTCAGTGCTGCTAGCTGGAGTAGTGTCCCAACCACCTTCACAGCAGAGGGGGAGAGAGGGAAGGCCCATCCCGGGGATCATAAGTGGGGCCATAGCCTCAGTCAGGGAAGGCTTATCTTGCCCTGGCTCTTAATATCCACTGTGAGGGTTGGATCACAAGGGTCCCCATGGGACTATCACCTGGTGTAATGGTCAAGCTACCAAGCGCATCCACCTGCCCTCTGTGCCCCCTCCCCTACCCTGTCCCACTGGGCCAGAAGCCAAGGGACAGAGTTGGTGTAACAGCCCTTCCCCAACAAAGCAACACAGACAATGAATCCACTCAGCTCCGGGTGGGCTCAACTACAAGGCCATTGACAGCATGCAGGAACATGGCCCCAAGAGGACTGAATCCCCACATAAATCTGTCCTACTCTGTATAAAAGTTTTATACAGAGAATGCTAATAAGGCCAACCCCCTTTAACAATGAAAGAGAGATAAGCACAGTGTTTGCTTCCCCTCCCAATAACATTTACACTGTGCTAGATATTAAACAAAAATATTTGATTAAGTAAAAAAGTAGGATTTAAGTGATAACAGACAGATCAAAGTAAGTTACTAACATGTCAACTAATCTTAATACACTAAGGCTACGTCTACACTGGCGGTTTGTTGCGCAAGAACTCTTTTGCAGAAGAGTTCTTGTGCAAAAGGTCTTCCACAAGAGAGTGACCACACTGCCATGGACACTCTTGTGCAAAAGCACATCTCTTGCGCAAGAAAGCTCAGATGACCATTTTAACCATAGAGGCTTCTTGCTCAAGAAATTCATGTTGCCTGTCTATACTGCCCTCTTATGGAAGAGCTCTTGCACAAGAGGGCTTATTCCTCATGGGCTGTGTCTACATTGTCACCCTTTTCCGGAAAAGGGATGCTAATGAGACAAGTCGGAATTGCAAATGCCGCGGGGGATTTAAATATCCCCCGTGGCATTTGCATGAACATGGCTGCCGCTTTTTTCTGGCTCGTGGCTTTGCCGGAGAAAAGCGCCAGTCTAGATGGGATCTTTCGGAAAATAAAGCCTTTTCCGGAAGATCCCTTATTCCTCTTAAAATCAGGAATAAGGGATATTCTGGGAAAGGCTTTATTTTCCAAAAGATCCCGTCTAGACTGGCGATTTTCTCCGGCAAAGCCCCCAGCCAGAAAAAGGCTTTATTTTCCAAAAGATCCCGTCTAGACTGGCGCTTTTCTCCGGCAAAGCCCCGAGCCAGAAAAAAGCGGCAGCCATGTTCATGCAAATGCTGCGGGGGATATTTAAATCCCCCACGGCATTTGCAATTCCGACTTGTCTCATTAGCATCCCTTTTCCGGAAAAGGGTGACAATGTAGACACAGCCATGGGGAGAGGACTAACTCTTCTGGAAGAAGCCCTGTTTTACAACGCTATACTGTAAATATACTTGCGCAAGAACGCTCATGCAGTGTAGATAGCAGGCAAGTTTTGTGCAAGAACGGCTATTCTTGCTCAAGAAGCTACCAGTGTAGACATAGCCTAAGGGTGTGTTACACTGCGCCATTATTCTAGAATAACGTCCATTATTCCAGAAAAAAAATACTAGTGTCTACACAGCAATTGCATTATTTCAAAAGAAAATCAAAATAATGGATGGCTTTTTCTGATGTTGGTAAAACTCATTCCACAAAGAATAACACCTCTTCCAAAAAAAGCTATTTTGGAAGCGGGTGTGTGTGGATGCAGAACAGGGAATTTAGTCAAAAAAAGAGGCCTCCAGGA